TTTTTCATTATTTTCTGTTGATTCCCGTTCAATCAAAATTTAGCCGTGTAACCATTAAGGTGCAGGTCAGCTCATCGGGTTCCCCTTTTCACCTCCCTGCCCACTCTTAACTCCATAATATAATACCTCATATTACTTCCTGTAACTATGTCTTCTTCTACCATCTCTTTCTCTCTGTTCCCTGTGAAGCTCTCTCACTCACTCTCTGTCTTTCCTTCCCCAACTAACCAGTTCCCGTCTACAAAGTGACACCATAAACAGTTTGAAAAATCCAGCGAGGTTTAAAATTCGCAGGTGAAAATGTTTATTAACTGATGGTATCTTAATTCCAATTATACGAAAATTGTTGTTCTGTTTAATGAAAATAAACATTGAGCACTTTTTGTGAGTCAGTTTTAACATTTAATATTTAATATTTCAAGTTCTATATTATGTTAATAGTACTCGCTTGGATTATACCAACGGATTACTACATATATATATATATATATATATATATATATATATATATATATATATATATATATGAAGAAATATAGTCTTAAGATGTGGTATATTTATTGGATAAAGTGCTCAATATCAGATATAGAGCGTGAGTAAATATAAAAGTGAACATTGAAGTCAACACTTAGAGGCGACAGTCTGTTTCATGCTAGCTGCAATCCTCAGATTGTATTAAAAATATGAATCAGTATTGTGAGTTTCTTTCTTCGTTGAATGATAATGTTATTAAACTTATTAGACGTTATGAAAAGAATTTACATAAAATCGACAACACTTGTCTATATTATTTAATGTAACGTGCTTGAATGAAAAGATGCTGCCTAAATACACACAATATATATATATATATATATATATATATATATATATATATATATATTATATAAAATTAATTTAAAAGCCGTCTCATCGTGCGGTATTTAAGATAGCCGCTGTAGAGGGCTCTTAATTGGGCTTTCAACACCAAAGTTTAAATGCGACAGGCAACAATGAACTACAGAATAAGTTAAACTCTGTTGAAGAAATCCTCATCGCTCATTGGGTCTTTTCAGAAATCTATAAATATCAAATTATATTAATATATATATATATATATATATATATATATATATATATATATATATATATATATATATAATAAAATCCTAATATCCGGAATTCCTTATATGGTGTGCCTCATATGCCTATTTCACCCTAATGGTTTGTATTGGTGTAGAGGAGGAAGAGTTCATTCTACTGTAGGAGGGTTTACCATAACATTTTTTCAGGAAATTCACTTTGGATATTTGCTGATGCTTATTTCACCCTAATGGCTTGTATTGGCGCAAAAGATGATGGGAATAAGAGGGAAAGAACATCTTTGGAGTTATCGCAAAAAGTGGAAATTCTAAACAGACTAGACGCTGGTGAAAGTTCATTGTAACTAATGGCTGAGTTCAACATAGGAAAGTCAACATTGTATGATATAAAATCTTTCAAAGAAACTATTCTCCAGCATTCACATTGTCACAATGAACAAGGAAATAAAAACATGGTTATGATGAAACCTGGACTGAAATTGAAAAAAGCTATTGAAAAGATTGTCAGTTTTATGGAAAGAAAGTCAGCATTCAGCTATAACGATTGCAATAATGCACGCAGAGTTAAAAAGTGTATTTCTTTAAAAAAAAAATTCAAGAACAAAAGCCAAACAAAATGCGGAAAAAGTTGAGAATAACATTAGAAGAGAAAGAATCATCATGCAAAAGGGATTAAAAAATCCTGGTTACATTATTTGTTTTGCATACGTGGCATACTTAATTCAATGAATTTTCATTAACATTACATAATTTATTTCTTTTTTCTTAAAATCAATTCCATTATATTTCACTCACCATTAGCTTATTTTGTTTACTATAAAACATTGAAAATAAATGTCAAATCAGATTTCATTTCTTTTATTTTAATCTAAATATAACCCCTCATATCCGGGCTTTCTAAGCAATTCCTCATATCCAGAAGGCCTTTTTTGTCCATTTGTCAGGGATTTTACTGTCTATATGTACTGATATAGGGAGGATTGCAACGGAAATAATGGGCTCATTTTTTATTATGTTTGTCCACGGTGCCAAAGAGGATGTTTGTGCGATGATTATAGACATCACATCTTCATATCAATAGTCTATACGTTTCCGGGTCTTCTTACTAAGTGGCAGTCTGGTAAAATAGGATCTGACAAGATAGTTCGCACGAAGCAGTATCGAGTCGTTGAATTTTTCCAAGCAGAAAACAATTGCACCCATTGACATATATTGGGGTTTGTTAAATTTTAAGGAGACCACACAGTGGATGGGATCACAGTCAGATGGGATGGAATTTCTTACAACATTAGCGAAGATACGTATGACAAAGCCATGTTCCGAACGCCGCTTGCTTAATGTTGTCCATCGCCGGTTCAAATGTTTAGCAAGATATCATATCGAAAGAAAACTTTGCAAATATTTTGAAGTTTGTTTGCAGCAAAGTAAACGTAGACGCCATAACCTGTTTTAAGGTGAATTATTTTAAAGGTGACATATTGAAATTTATGCCAATTTAAAAAAAAATCCTAGTAGCATGAATCCTGTCAAACGTGAAGCAAAACTTGATATCCAAATTACGGTAAAACATCATTGGCAGTAATAGTTTACGAAGACAATTACCTCTAGAAATCAGCAAATTTTCGAATGGCTAACTCGTTTCAAAGAAAGACGTGACAGAATTGTAGACGGCGAACGGATTAGCAGACCGTCAACATCAATTTGCTAGGAAAGAAATAAATTTGGTGCATTTCCAGATTTAATTGTGGTCTCACTACGATTAAATAATGGTTGCCACACTGAGAAGCACAGTTGGTTGGCCCTAGACAGTTTTACCTGAAAAAATTAAAGTTGAGCAAACTTTCTGCTTTTTGGGTGGCAAAGAAAAAAGTTGCAACCCAATCAGCAACAGACGAAAACAGAGATTTCACTATAAATCTCTATCTATAAAAGGCAGGGTGTGTGTGTGTGTGTGTGTGTAACGAATGCACGGCCGCAATTTTCGACGGATTTGCACCAAAATTTACCGACCTTGCATTTTCCAACTCCCATCGATAGTGGAAATAATCGATTTTTTCATGCTTTTAAGGCAGTTTTCATGTAGTTTGCGGCCATTTTCTACTGGCCAGAGTGAGAGCCTATAGCTGGCTGCCACGAATAGACAGGAAGAGTCTATTGGCCAGCGTGAGAGCCAACAACTGACTGACACGAATGTTAACTAGCATGCTAGCATGCAAAAAAAATCGATAGCTGCATTCATCACAAGTGGGAAAAATTTAAATCTACATGGCACTTTACTCCAATTGACTCATTCGCTTGATTAAACTCAACGTTGATTCTGATTCCACAGAACTGGGTTTGGGTGTGAAAATGTATTTGTTGTTAACATTCTTTTTTCATTCGGTTTTTCCAGTTACGAGTCCTTTTTTAAAGCTGATCGTTTTGTGTTCATTTTGTTTAGTTCTTTTTTCGTAACAGATTTAATGTTTAGTATAGAGCTTAGAAAAAATTCGCAGTGTGAGATAGGCAAGAAGTAAAGCATGTAGCAACATCAGCACGGCAAAGGGCACTCCTTTAAAGGAAAGGAAGGGCAAAAATATTTTAAGTCAAGTGATAGCGATTGCTGTATGAGTTGTACGATTTTTGAATCAAGCCCGGGCAACGCCGGGACATGCTGCTTGTCGTAAATAAATGAGAATAAAAGCCTGAATGCAAATTGAAATTTGTGATTAAACTTTGTTTTAATTATACAAAAATAATGTGAGGATCATTGAAAAAGTTCGTGACAAGAAAAGGAATTAAAAGCAAACGTTTTTAAGTATAATCTTTATTTCTATATATAAAGTCTATCAAAATCGAGGCGCTTCTTAACGACCTTCCCGATGACATCAGCTCCCAACTTGGCATCTACGCTGACGTCACAATCGTTTAATTCTGACTTTGCCAGTAAAGATGATCAGTTTGTCAATGTCAAAATGCAAGCCAATGTCCAAAACGACTTCAAGTCCGTCGTTAATTGGGATAAAAGATGACTTGTTAAGTTTAACACCTTCAAGATTAAATTTCTCTCCATTAAACATTTGAGAGACTCATCTCTGCCTTCCATTAGTATGGCTGATGCTAACCTCCCAGAAAGTGACTCGTTGCGCCTTCTTAAGCAAACGTCCTCAGCTGAAATGAAACGGAAACACTATATTGAACCCATTGCTAGGTCAACTGCTAAGAAAGTTGGTTCACTGTGTCGTGCGAGACAATTTTTTTTTCCAGAATCTATCTTACATATCTATAAATCCACCACTCGTCCATGCTTAGAATATTGCTGCCAGATATGGTCTGATGCCTCTGCTGTTTACCTTGAGCGCTTTGATAAAAATCAAAAGAAGAATCAGCAATATTATTGGTTCTGATCTGGCAGCTTGGTTTCAGTCAATTTCCCATCGCAGTAAGGCTGACTTGCTGTGCTTTTTCCCTAAATACATTCATGGTAATTGTTCAGATGAGCTATTCACTATAGTACCTAGATTATGAATTTAAGCGCAGTACTAGATTGGCATTGAGGTCTCATCAATTTGCAGTTGAGCTAGTTAGATGTAACCGTAAGTTCTATGCTAACAGTTTCTTTTCTGGTTTGTGGAACTCCCTTCTATCTACTGTCCTCCTGAATGTGTTAGTTTGAACTGACACCAGGAGAATATGGATTTAAGAAAGGGAGGGCTATGAAAGGCTGAGATTGTTTTGATATTAATGCGAGAGAGAGAGAGAGAGAGAGAGAGAGAGAGAAAGTGAGAGAAAGTGAGAGAAAGTGAGAGAGAGAAATCCTATCTAAACATAACTTCTCCAGCACGTTAACGCCATTTTTTAAAGGCAGAGTAATTTTCAAGAAAAAGGGTGAGTTATGGAGACTCAGGATCGCATAAGTTTTGAAAGTGATATTTTAAACTAATAGATAGATAGATAGATAGATAGATAGATAGATAGATGTGAACATACTGAGATAGATAGATAGATAGATAGATAGATAGATAGATAGATGTGTTGTGAACATACTGAGATAGATAGATAGATAGATGTGTTGTGAACAGAGATAGATAGATAGATGTGTTGTGAAATGCTAGATAGATAGATAGATGTGTGTGTAAACATACTGAGATAGATAGATAGATAGATAGATAGATAGATAGATAGATGTGTTGTGAACATACTGAGACAGATAGACAGATAGATAGATAGATAGATGTGTTGTGAACATACTAAGATAGATAGATAGATGTGTTGTGAACATACTGAGATAGATAGATAGATAGATAGATAGATGTGTTGTGAACATACTGAGATAGACAGATAGATGTGTTGTGAACATACTGAGATAGACAGATAGATGTGTTGTGAACATACTGAGATAGATAGATAGATAGATAGTGTTGTGAACATACTGAGATAGATAGATAGATAGATAGATAGATAGATGTGTTGTGAACATACTGAGATAGATAGATAGATAGATGTGTTGTGAACATACTGAGATAGACAGAGAGATGTGTTGTGAACATACTGAGATAGATAGATCGGTAGATAGATAGAGTGTGTGTGTGTGTGTGTGAGAGAGAGAGAGAGAGAGAGAGAGAGAGAGAAATACTCTTTAAAGATGGCTTCTCTTTCCAGCGACTTAAGAAAGACTAGCATTTAAACGTATTCTCCAAGTACGAAAAATAGATAATTGCCCATGTCAACTATTAAGTGCACTCGCCGTATCTAACAGAAATTAATATTGGAATTATATTTGCTGCAATTTCTTTTTTTCTTTCGCCGTCGTTTTAGTAGGCAAAAGATGGAGATATATTTGTATCGGTCGGCAACATCTGAATGCTTTCAGAGGAACAGGATAGAAAGGAAGAAATAAACCTGAGAAAAAAATATGTGAACCACTTGAATTGAATATAATATGAACCAAATTCTGTCTGGTATAGAATTCAAATCGAGAAGATAGATAGATAGATAGATAGATAGATATGAACAAACTGGGGTAGATAGATAGAAATGAACAAACTGGGATAGATAGATAGATAGATAGATAGATAGATAGATAGATAGATAGATAGATAGATATGAACAAACTGGATAGATAGATAGATAGATAGATAGATAGATAGATAGATAGATAGATAGATAGATATGAACAAACTGGGGTAGATAGATAGAAATGAACAAACTGGGATAGATATATAGATAGATAGATAGATATGAACAAACTGGGTAGATAGATAGATAGATAGATAGATAGATAGATAGATATGAACAAACTGGGATAGATAGATAGATAGATAGATAGATAGATAGATAGATAGATAGATAGATAGATAGATATGAACAAACTGGGGTAGATAGATTGATAGATAGATAGATAGATAGATAGATAGATAGATAGGCAGAGAGACATGGATAGACTGAGATAGATATAGACATAATGGAATATATATATATATATATATATATATATATATATATATATATATAGATAGATAGATAGATGGATAGCTAGGTAGATAGGTAGATACTATCTATTCCCATATCCATCTATCGTTAAATATATAGACAGATAAAGACATAAACATGGACATACTGAAATAATAAAGACATAGATAGATAGATAGATAGATAGATAGATAGATAGATAGATAGAATGACTGACAGAAGATTTTTCTCAGTCTGTCCATGTCTGGCTGTCTATATTTATATAGACATAATGAGATAGATAGAAAGGTAGACAGACAGACAGACAGATAGATAGATAGATAGATAGATGTATAATATGTATCTATATATCCATCTATAAATAGATATAGACAGAGATAGACAGATAAATAGATAGATTGATAGATAAGAAATTGAAATGGATATATAAATAGATTATGAACTGAGAAAGAAATACTTTGATTGATTATATATATATATATATATATATATATATATATATATATATATATAGAAAGAAAGAAAATAGATATAATTTGAAATAAGATACTTAAATGTTTCAATCAGAGAAACATTCAGGAAACAAAATGCAGTTTTGTATAGAAACACATTTTTCGAAATTATTATAAAAAATGTAAACGCTCTTAATACACTACCGAAGATTTGTCTACAGCGAATGGCTTTCATAATTTACCTCAAATTTCGTATTAGGTTAAATAAGTTTTTTTCATTCGTTGTCCTTATTGATTCGGTTGGTAACATTGTAAACCCAATTTTAACAGTCATTTCTAAATTCTCTGCGTCATATATCCAATAATTTGGATATTGGAAAGGTTTGAAGCATTTTCAATCTATTTTTCTTCATCGTGTAAATATCGAATTCTATAAATTCAAAATGCTAATCTATAATTCTTCTCGATTAGAATTTGTTGTGTGAATAGCAGTTTCGGCGAGTAGGGTTCTTGCTATATGTTTTCATTCGCGTTAAACTTTAGATCAGTCGAACATGATACCATTCTTTCTTTCTTTCTTTCTTTCTTTCTTTCTTTCTTTCTTTCTTTCTTTCTTTCTTTCTTTCTTATCGTCCTGGATCTGACGATAAACTACGTCCAACAGCAAGGCCTCTGATCAGGAGGTTTTGAGGAGCGTGGAACAACCTCTTAATTGTTGGTGTTCCCAGGTCCACCCTGACCCAGGGTGGTAGCACCTGTTAGGGTCCCAGCTATGGGCAAATAGTTAACCCCGAAACTGGGGTAAAAATGGGTTTTTTTACCAGGAATACTTTGTAAAAAAAGAAAATTATTATCAGCAATAAATTTTTGAAGAAAAAAAACAAACTATTACCAGCAATATATTTTTGAAAAAAAAATATTACCAAAAATACGTTTTTGAAAAAGTTTACCAGTAATACATTTTTGAGGAAAACAAATATTACCAGCAATACATTTTTAAAGGAAAAAAATTATTACCAGAAATAGTTTTTTGACAAAACAAAATATTACCAGCAATAAAAACTTTGTTGGAATTAAATAACCCATTGAGGTTGATATACCGTAAAACACAACAAACAAAACCAAACCTTTTTTCTTTTCTTTTTTTCCTTCTTATTCCTGTCTTTTTCTTTTCTTTCTTCTTCCCGCATTTTTTTTATTTGTTTATTTTTTCTTTCTCTTTTTCTTTTTTTCATTTTTTCTTTCTTTTTATATATTTCTTTCTTTCTTTTTCTTTTCTAACCTTTTCTTTCATTTTCTTTCTTTCATTTTCTTTCTTTTTTCTTTCTTTCTTTCTTTCTTGTAGCCATGTCGTATCAAAAAAAGATTGGGATACCTAACATGATATCAAAAATATCTTCTTTCTTACAATTCATTTCTACAGTAAATCATTTGCAATGCATTTTTATAGCAAACAATTTACAATTCATTCCTACACTAAATCATTTACAATGCGTTTTTATAGCAATTTACAATTCGTTTCTACACTAAATCATTTACAATGCATTTTTATCGAAACAATTTACAATTCATTCCTTTATTAATTCATTTGCAATGCATTTTTATAGCAAACAATTTACAATTAATTTCTACAGTAAATCATTTGCCATGCATTTTTATAACAAACAATTTACAATTCATTTTTACAGTAAATAATTTACAATGCATTTTTATAGCAAACAATTTACAATTCATTTCTACAGTAAATCATTTGTAATGTATTTTTATAGCAAACAATTTATAATTCATTTCTACAGTAAATCATTTGCATCGCATTTTTATAGCAAACAATTTACAATTCATTTCTACAGTAAATCATTTGTAATGTATTTTTATAGCAAACAATTTACAATTCATTTCTACAGTAAATCATTTGTAATGTCTTTTTATAGCAAACAATTTACAATTCATTTCTACACTAAATCATATACAATGCGTTTTTATAGCAATTTACAATTCATTTCTACACTAAATCATTTACAATGCATTTTTATCCAAACAATTTACAATTAATTCCTTTATTAATTCATTTGCAATGCATTTTTATAACAAACAATTTACAATTCATTTTTACAGTAAATAATTTACAATGCATTTTTATAGCAAACAATTTACAATTCCTTTCTACAATAAATCATTTACAATGCATTTTTATAGCAAACAATTTACCATGCTCGACGTTGCTTAACATGGTTATTTCAACCAGATACATGAGTACGCTAACAGAAAGACAAGTGGGGGGGGTAGATCTTTAACTGTTGACGTTGTAAAGGATCCTAAGATTTGGGGCATAAAAGTAAAAGAAATGAAATCATAAAAAAAGAGATATGATGAAACTAAAAACAAAAAGAAACTTGATAAAATGGCTGTATTCATTAATCGATCCATTTCTTTTCGACGCCTTTTGCAAACATTATTTAATAAGACAAAGAAGACTGACTAAATTTTCTGAGCACTTTCTTCTATTCGCCGTCTCCCTTCACAATGTACGCTATGAAGGGTCGCCACAGTTTCCTGTCTTACGCAAGTCTTAATAAATTTTGTCATCTTTCCTATGTCTTGTTCTATCATTCATTTACTCAATCTCAGCCGGAAGGTTATGCGTTGTTTTCATTTATTCCTTACGTTTTCAATCTGTCTCCTGAGTATGAATTTCCCCAAGCTATGTGTCATCATTATCTAACCAAGAAATATTAGCTGATGTTAAGTACAAATCTCCTCTTTGTCCAAATCCTTGTTGTTGTTCATATGTTCAGTCCTTGTTATCCACAGCATCCTTATGTAGATTCACATTTCTGTTGCTTCAAGTCTTTTGCCATGGACCAGGATAGAAATTACTTAACCGTTCAGTACTGTTTTCTTTGTTTCTGTTGCTTCAATGATTGTCCAGCATTCACTGCAATATAGAACGACTGATATTAGGTAAGAGTTCAGTACTCTTTTCTTTGTTTCTATTGCTTCAAGTCTCTTCTTCATCAGCGAAGAGATTGTCCAGCATTCACTGCCATATAGGACGACTGATATTAGGTAACAGTTCAGTACTCTTTTCTTTGTTTCTGTTGCTTCAAGTCTCTTCTTCATCTGCGAAGAGATTGTCCAGCATTCACTGCCATATAGGACGACTGATATTACGTAACAGTTCAGTACTCTTTTCTTTGTTTCTATTGCTTCAAGTCTCTTCTTCATCTGCGAAGAGATTGTCCAGCATTCACTGCCATATAGGACGACTGATATTAGGTAACAGTTCAGTACTCTTTTCTTTGTTTCTATTGCTTCAAGTCTCTTCTTCATCTGCGAAGAGATTGTCCAGCATTCACTGCCATATAGGACGACTGATATTAGGTAACAGTTCAGTATAAGTCTCTTCTTCGTCTGTGAGGAGATTGTCCAGCATTCACTGCCATATAGGACGACTTTATTACGTAACAGTTCAGTTTCTTTTCTTTGTTTCTATTTCAAGTCTCTTCTTCATCTGCGAAGAGATTGTCCAGCATTCACTGCCATATAGGACGACTGATATTAGGTAACAGTTCAGTACACTTTTCTTTGTTTCTGCTGTTTCAAGTCTCTTCTTCGTCTGTGAGGAGATTGTCCAGCATTCACTGCCATATAGGACGACTGATATTACGTAACAGTTCAGTATTCTTTTCTTTGTTTCTGTTGCTTCGTCTCTTCTTCATCTGTAAGGAGATTGTCCAGCATTCACTGCCATATAGGACGACTGATATTACGTAACAGTTCAGTACTCTTTTCTTTGTTTCTGTTGCTTCAAGTCTCTTCTTCATCTGCGAAGAGATTGTCCAGCATTCACTGCCATATAGGACGACTGATATTACGTAACAGTTCAGTATTCTTTTCTTTGTTTCAGTATTCTTCTTCATCTGTTTGTCCAGCATTCACTGCCATATAGGACGACTGATATTACGTAACAGTTCAGTACTCTTTCCTTTGTTTCTGTTGCTTCAAGTCTCTTCTTCATCATTGTCCAGCATTCACTGCCATATGGGACGACTGATATTAGGTAACAATTCAGTACTCTTTTCTTTGTTTCTGTTGTTCAAGTCGATCTGCGAAGAGATTGTCCAGCATTCACTGCCATATAGGACGACTGATATTACGTAACAGTTCAGTACTTTTTCTTTGTTTCTGTTGTCTTCACTGCCATATGTCGACTCTTCTTCATCTTCAAGTCTCTTCTTCATCTGCGAAGAGATTGTCCAGCATTCACTGCCATATAGGACGACTGATATTACGTAACAGTTCAGTATTTTTCTTTTTTCTGCTTTTCAAGTCTCTTCTTCGTCTGTGAGGAGATTTCACTGCCATATAGGACGACTTGTAACTTCAGTATTCTTTTCTTTGTTTCTGTTGCTCGTCTCTTCTTCATCTGTAAGGAGATTGTCCAGCATTCACTGCCATATAGGACGACTGATATTACGTAACAGTTCAGTATTCTTTTCTTTGTTTCTGTTGCTTCGTCTCTTCTTCATCTGTAAGGAGATTGTCCAGCATTCACTGCCATATAGGACGACTGATATTACGTAACAGTTCGGTACTGTTTTCTTTGTTTCTGTTGCTTCAAGTCTCTTCTTCATCTGCGAAGAGATTGTCCAGCATTCACTGCCATATAGGACGACTGATATTACGTAACAGTTCAGTACTCTTTTCTTTGTTTCTGTTGCTTCGTCTCTTCTTCATCTGTAAGGAGATTGTCCAGCATTCACTGCCATATAGGACGACTGATATTACGTAACAGTTCAGTATCTCTTTCTTTGTTTCTTGTCCAGCATTGCTTCGACTGAAGTTCAAGTCTCTTCTTCATCTGCGAAGAGATTGTCCAGCATTCACTGCCATATAGGACGACTGATATTAGGTAACAGTTCAGTACTCTTTTCTTTGTTTCTATTGCTTCAAGTCTCTTCTTCATCTGCGAAGAGGACGACTGTCCAGCATTCAGTACACTGCCATATAGGATTGTCCAGACTGATATTAGGTAACAGTTCAGTTTCTGTTACAGTCTTTCTTCATCTTTGTTTCTGTTGGACGACTGATTCAAGTCTCTTTTTTTTGTTTCTTCATCTGCGAAGAGATTGTCCAGCATTCACTGCCATATAGGACGACTGATATTAGGTAACAGTTCAGTACTTGCTTCTTTTTCATTTGTTTCTTCACTGCCATATGGACGACTTTCAAGTTCTCTTCTTCATCTGCGAAGAGATTGTCCAGCATTCACTGCCATATAGGACGACTGATATTACGTTCACAGTTCAGTAAGTCTCTTCTTCATCTGCGAAGAGATTTTTCAGGGACAATATTAGGTAACAAGATATCTTCAAGTCTCTTCTTCATCTGCGAAGAGATTGTCCAGCATTCACTGCCATATAGGACGACTGATATTACGTCACAGTTCAGTAATCTTTCTGGCGGGTTTTTCATCTGCAATAAAATATTTTCAGCCTCTTTTCTTGGTTTTTCGTCAACAACTTTAAGAAAATTATTGCAAGAACGACCATAATTATGAATGCTGGTCTTTATTTTAAGAACTCAGGGGTAAAAATGAAAAAAAAAAAATAAGACAAATTTTCCCATTTGGCTGAAAGAGCCTTTAAAGAATTCTTTCTTTCTTTCTTTTTTTCTTTCTTTCTTTCTTTCGTTTATGTTCTCAGTGAAACCAAGTAGCGGCTCTCCCCACTTTCCACACGACCAGACGGAAGATTCCATTATTTATGAGGTATTCGCATGAAACGTTGTACACTTTATCTTTCCTTGTTTATTTCTAGCTAAATCCCCGTTTTGCGAACATTTATCATGATAATAATTTAAAAAAAACAATAAGTCAGTAGAAGGTATTATTTAATTTAATTTATAGTAACTAGATTTTTGGCAATCGCCTTATTCGGTTTCCGTCGTTCGATATTGTGCGTCTGAGAAAATGGCATTTTTATCGTGGACGCCATCACATCTCAGACTTTTGGCAGAGATCAACGTGTAGTGTCTGTCCTTATCAGTTGAATCTGATTCTCTCGCACCATTTCTGTTTTTCTTTCATTCCTTTTTTTTTCATTGAAACTTTTTCTACACGACGAAAACGGAATAGTTTATTATTTATGGCGTATTGGCAGGACGTAACTGTCGTGCGAACTAAATAAGGGCCGGACGAGCACAATTATACGTTAACCTATCCTGGTTTTTATCTTTCTATTAACCTCAAAGTTTTGAATTCAAATGGTCATATTCGATAACCTGAGTATTTGCAATTGTTGATATTGTTCTTGACTTTGCCACTCTTATCGACGAGGATAATCTAAGTTTGGACTGAATATAATGCCTATTGTTCCTTAAATAAAGCCTCTCTCTCGCTCTTTCCCCCGTATGTGTTTATTTCTATACTGGGCCGGCAGAAGCGATTATTACAGTTCAGAATAATTTAAATGGCGTTATATTCTAATGCTGATTTGCAACTTCATTCGACAAAGGTTGCTGAGCCTATTTCGTCCATTATCAGTCATACTTGATTACACAATACTTCTATACATGATCTGCCATCAAAACCTTCGCATACATGATCAGTCATGCATTATTTCGTGGCTTTTCCACGCATGATAAACCATTAAATTTCGGCTTGTTTTCTCTGTAGAGAATTATCAAGACTGACCGCTCACAATGTGTTCAAATAAGTAGCGAGAAGTATGAATAAATTAATAGCTTCAAAACGTGACCCGAATGCATATCGCGCACCCAGGATGCTCGCATGAATTTAGGAAGCCCGATCACATAGAAACACAGGCGTTAGCCATTTTAAATATCTAGGAACCCGGTTACATTGTCTTCATTTTTAAAAAACATTCTGCTCCATTTCTCAGTGTGTTCGCATATCTATCTATCTATCTATCTATCTATCTATCTATCTATCTATCTATCTAAGGTCTGTTCATATCTATCTATCTATCTATCTATCTATCTATCTATCTATCTATCTATCACTGATTTCTTAATTTGTTCATATCTATCTATCTATCTATCTATCTATCTATCTATCTATCTATCTATCTGAATCTGTTCACTATCTAATTATCTATCTATCTATATATATATATATATATATATATATATATATATAGTTTTTTCATTCTGTTCATATCTATCTATGTAACACTGATTTCTTATTTTGTTCATATCTATCTATCTATCTATGATTTCTTATTTTGTTCATATCTATCTATCTATCTATCTATCTATCTATCTGAATCTGTTTAGTATCTATCTATCTATCTATCTATCTATCTATCTATCTGAATCTGTTCAGAATCTATCTATCTATCTATCTATCTATCTATCTATCTATCTATCTATCTATATATATATATATATATATATATTTCATTCTTTCATTCTCTCTATCTCTCTCTCTCTCTATATATATATATATATATATATATATATATATAGTTTTCATTCCGTTCATATCTATCTATCTCTCTCTCTCTATATATATATATAGTTTTTCATTCTGTTCATATCTATCTATCTCTCTCTCTCTCTCTCTATATATATATATATATAGTTTTTCATTCTGTTCATATCTATCTATCTCTCTCTCTCTATATATATATATATATAGTTTTTCATTCTGTTCATATCTATCTATCTATCTACTCTTTTTTTAGTTTGTTCATATCTATCTACTGTTTCTCAGTGTGTTCACATTTCTCATTCTGTTCACATCTATCTATGTATCTATCTGAATCTGTTCAGTATCTATCTATCTATCTATCTATCTATCTATCTATCTATCTATCTATCTATCTATATATATATATATATATATATATATATATATATATAGTTTCTCTTTGTGTTCACAACACATCTATCTATCTATCTATCTATCTATCTATCTATCTATCTATGTTGACGCAGATTGTAAAAAAAAAAATACCAATTTTTATGCTGAACCCACCCCGTTGCCGTTCGCAATTATTCAAATTAATAATGGCAATCGCCAATTTCCGATTCGTTTACAAATAATCGAACTCGTTGCTGTTAAACAAAGCTCGGTGAAAGAAGGACTAATTAGTCGGGATGACAGGCAGACAAAAATTTAATCATTCATTTACAAATATCTATCGAAGTGGCAAATTGAAAAGGTTTGCCCGAATGGAGACCAATCGATCTCTGCCTTGATTTGCTTTGCCATTTGTCTATTTCTTTCGCGCTTGTATTTGAAATGTTTTGTCAAAAATTCTTTCTTTATTTTGATAAGTGATGTTTGCTTTAAAATGCTCCTTCAATTATTTTCAGAAACAGCGTCTGTTTTGTTTCGGCCTTTACAAATTTTTGTGATCCTTGAAGAATAGATGAGAAGGCAAAATATTACGTCAGGAAAAGAAAGAAAAAATCAAAAAGAAAGAAAGAAAGGAAAAAGAAAAGAAAGAAGGAAATAAATAAATAAATAAATAAAGAAAGAAAGATAGAAATAAAAAAGAAAGAAAGAAAAAAAGAAAGAAAGAAGGAAAGAAGGGAAGAAAAAATAAATAAAGAAAGAAAGAAGGAAAGCGAAAAAAGGAAAGAAAGAAAGAAAGACATAAAGAAGGGAAGAAAAAAGAAAAAAAAGAAAGAATGGAAGCAAAAGGAAAGAAAGTAGGAAGAAAAAAGAAAGAAGAAAAGAAAGAAATAAAGAAAGACAGAAAGAAATAAAGAAAGAAAGAAAGGAAAAAAGAAAGAAAGAAGGAAAGAAAGAAAGAAAGAACGAAACAAGGAAAAACAGAAAGAAGGAAAAGAAAAAGGAAAGAAAGAAGGAAGGAAAGAAAGACAAATAAATAAAGAAAGAAAGAAGGGAGGAAAAAGGAAAGAAAGAAAGATAAAGAAATAAATAAATAAAGAAAGACATAAAGAAGGGAAGAAAAAGGAAAGAAAGAAGGAACGAAAGAAATAAAGAAAGAAAGAAAGAAAGAAAGTAAAAAAGGAAAGAAAGAAAGAAGGAAAGAAAGAAAGAAGGAAAGAAAGAAAGAACGAAACAAGGAAAGACAGAAAGAAAAATGGAGTAGATGAAGAAAAAATAAGCTGAAAATGAAGAAAGTATAAAAGAATAAAAAGCAAATGATCAAGTAAATGACAAAGGGGAAAGAAGGTGAAAAAGAAGAAAGAAAATGAAAAAAAAAAGAAAATGAAAAAGAGAAAAGAAATGAAATTGAAAAAGAGAAAAGAAAGAAAAAAGAAAACGAAAAAGAAAAAAATGAAAAAGTAAATGATGAAAAAGAAAATGAAAAAATTGAAAAAGAAAATATAAAAGAAAAAGAAAAGGAAAAAGAAAAAGCAAAAAGAAATTGTAAACAAAAAACTGAAAAAGGAAACAGAAAAACAAAAGGAAAACGAAAGGGAAAAAGAAAAATGAAAAAGAAATTGAAAAAAGAAAGAAAAGGATAAAGAAGAAGAAAATGAAAAAGAAAAAATGAAAAGGGGAGAAAAACAAGAAAAATGAAAAAGAAAAAAAGAAAATGTCCCTGTTAACTTCATTTGTCCTGTGAGTAACAAATTTGCCAAGCCCCTTTTTCTTCCTTATGTGCACTAGAAATATCAACGGCCTCTTCCTGATATTAATTATAAATGTCCTTTTTGGTTCCATTTTCTCTAAAACTTCGTCCGTGCATTGGCTTTTAAAAAACCAGTTGAGTCTTTTCGATATTTATTCGAGTTGTCCGTGGATCTTTATTAAGAAAATTGAGTAAAATCGGAATAATAAAATGTTTCTTCTTTTTTAATCCGCAGATTAGGAGACACAAAACGAACTCTTTCAGCCTATTTGATCTGACAGTAGCTCACTAACCCCGATAATCCTTATTTTCAAGTTTGTTATACCGAAGCTTGACTGACCCGAAGACCTATCTCGCATCCAGGCCGCTCGCACGACTTTAGGAATCCCGGCTACATAGAAACACAGGCGTTAGTAATTTTTAATGTCTAGGAAACCCGTCTGCAGGGTCTTCATGTTGAACAACCATCTGTTCTTTTTCTCATATCTATCTATCTATCTATCTATCTATCTATCTATCTATCTATCTATCTATCTATCTATCTCAGTTTGTTCCTTCTATCTATCTAAATGAAATGAAATTAAATAATATAATCGCCAGTTATTTAACATCGCCTGAAGAAGTACGATGAAAGCATTGAAATATGAAAGTTTTAATGTATCGATTTAAAAATGTTTTTATTATAATCTCTTCTTATAAGAATATAATATCTATCTATCTATCTATCTATCTATCTAAATCTGTTCAGTATCTATCTATCTATCTATCTATCTATCTATCTATCTATCTATCTATCTATCTATCCAAATGAAATTAAAAAATTTAATCGCCAGTTATATACCATCGCCTGAGGAAGTACGATGAAAGCATTGAAACATGAAAGTTTTAGTGTATCGATTTAAAAATGTTTTTATTATAATCTCTTATAATATAAATATAATAATATCTATCTATCTATCTATCTATCTATCTATCTATCATTTCTTAAATCAAACTTCATTCCAAAATATAACTTCAACAAAACTACAACATAAAACACACTCTAGTAATAATGTCCACACAAATATGTATATGTATAAAAGTTGACTATCATCTAAATTTGAGTTGCCTTTATACCAACCATTTTGCTAAAACCAATTTTATGATATTCCGACGAGATTAAAGTTAGCAAGCTTGTGTAGTAGATCAAAAACAAAATCAACCAGATCTATCTATCTATCTATCTATCTATCTATCTATCTATCTATCTATCTATCTATCATGACATTAACCCATACAATATACTACAATTTCTTAAATCAAACTGTATTCCAAAATACAGGATGTCCCAAAAAAATTTGGACATCATTTTAAAAGCAATTATCTTGAAAACTACTAAGTCTTGCTCAATGAAATTAAACAGTTTGGTTGTTGAACATCATAAGTTTACTATGGGACCGATTTCAATATGTGCACCGCCTGTGACACGGCACAGGTCAGGTCAGTTGTTAAGCTCTTGCCAAACAAACTGATGATGATTGTTTACCAATTCCCTTAACACTGCCTAATCAGCGTTCCTTTTTAAATATTTGTGCCCAAGTACAAATTTGTTTGCCAGTTGCTGAATTTTTGTCCAAATGTTTGCATTGAAGGCATGCTGCACAGTCTTGGGTGACTGTGTGCCTGCATATTCCAAGACGCAAAATGACTTCTCTTTGGGAGTGAACGGCATGGCTCAACCTGAAAACAGAACAAAAATAAAACATTAAATATAAAATCTTGGTCTGTTTCTAAACATTCTGTGAAAAGTTGAGGTTATTTCAAAAAGAATTGCCAAAACTCTTGGCCTGCGAAATGATGCCAATTTTTTTTTTGGATACCCTGTATAAATCACTTTTAGCTATTCAAATAAAGCGTACTTGATTTCTCTCCTACGAATGGCAACCAACTTAGCATTTAGAACACCTTCTGGCGGTAAGCAACACATGTGGAAATGTATGCAATTCTAACGGTTTTAATAATATTATAGTGTTGTATATGAAATAAAGGTCCACCAAAATGTTTTACCTATGGACCTGCTTTAATATCGACATTTTTGCTAATACCAATTTTACAACATTCCTAAGACAGTTCTGGGTATGACGATAAACTACATCCGGCAGCAAGGCCTCTCTTCTGGCGATTAGAGGTTTTCAGGAGCATGGAACCAACAAATCAAATATAAACATATAAAAAATAAATAAATAAATATAATGATAACGTTATATTTATTTTTTATATGTTTATATTTGATTTGTAACCTGTAGTCGATATTAATTTTGTCAAATTTTCTTAATTACACAGCGGCACTTTTAATAAATGCCCTTCAGTTTTAGTTTCCCCTGCTCCATCTCTCTCTCCCCCACCCTTTTTTTCTTTTCTTTTCCTCTCCCTCCCTCTTCTTTTGATCTATTGTGTGTATGTCACCACAAAATGTATCCTTTCCGGTTACATCCTTAATGTATTAGACATCCGACAACATTCATATTTCTCTCACTTAAACCGTCTTCAACTCACCTCTCTAAAACTTCCCTCTGTTAAGTTTTAATCTCCCACCTTCTCTCATCTGTTACCCCTCTCTTTAGCTCTAACATTCGTCCCACACTCTCATACTTAGACTCTCTCTAAATTTTATTTTTTTTATTTCCGGAGTTGTTTTTCTGTTTTCTTTTTGAATTTGTAGGTCTGATGAATTGAATCGTATTTACGATTCCAATGGAATAAATTATGACTATGGAATATTAGTGTTTAAGCCTTTTTATTATATCCTTACTCTGTCCTGGACATTGAGTTCTACCTGGATTCTATCCTCTTGGAATTTTATTAAAAAATAAATATATATGTGTATGTATGCACATGTATGTATACATATTTATATATTTTTCATATGTATGTGTATATTTACCACTAATATCTATCTATCTATCTATCTATATATGTATGTGTGTGTGTATATAGTCAAAAATTAGAACAGAAATAGATAGTTAGATATAAACAAGCATAGATAGATAGATCGATATGTATAAATAGACATAGACAGAAATATGATTTCAACCGATCGATTACAACCAAATTTGACACGGATTTAAGTGCATTTATGGAAATAAGAATGGACAATAATGGCCATATTTTGGTTTCGGATGCAAAAGTTATCACAATGAAGGATTTCTGTCGTAGCTGAACTTTGCCCTCCAAAAGCCAATCGGATTAGTGTTTTTAGTCACGTGTGGATCGTGCGATGCGTAATGCTTGCTGCTGATTGGCCCATTCACGCTCCGTGGTCATGCGAGATCACGTGTGAACAAGGGGCTGTCACGCGTGAGCGCATCAAGTGGGGGTAGAGGTCTTCAGGTAGCCTACTTTTATTTCAGGATTTAACGTGCATACCATGGTTATTAAAAAGGATATTTTAATGTTTCAATGTAGGCATGCATTTCTTTTCATGTTTTCTGAATTTTCACAGTAAAGTAAGCCAAGGCCATTTTAAAAGGGATTTACAGAGCTACCCGTCAAATTTTACCAGAAAAATTAGTAAAAACAAGGTGAAACTGCTGCTTTTTAGTTGTTTGTAGCCCATTTAGTCTATTAAAGAATAGGATTGAATTCAATGAGCAAGCACTAACATATTTCATACCACTTCACGCCACCACTTTTAAGCCAAGTGGACAGAATCGGCTCCCCCCAATTGTTCATTTTTTTTTTTACATTTGATTGCATTTTTTCATTCGAGGGGACACCGGGGGACTGTTACGTCTTTTCATGCCGTTTACGTGTAGCAAAAGGCACCTACTCGCTATAATTTTACTACTGCGCACGTTTTCATTTAAATTCATGCTACTTAAATGCCTTCATCATCCATCAGTAAACGAAATTAACATTGCTTCAAATTTTGTTCGTAAGAAGTGTAAAAACGCTTGTATTTTCAACTTTTGATCCACAAAATTACCTCACATCTCCTGGCTGTTCAAAAGTTTCAAAGAAAAATGAAGCTTAAAAATCCCATTTTCTGATTGGCTGACTTTGAGAGACTGCGCTACATCGGTGATGGCGTAAATCAAAAAGGCAATTCTTATTTTGGGATAAGGAACTACATAGTTTTCATATTTATCAATAAAAACCCGATACAATTACATCGCCAGATACTATTTTGAAACGTCACCCGCCACTGTGCACTCCTTTGACTAACCCAGCTGGAGGTTAACCAATCGCGTCAACTGTTCAAGGTTGCTGCGAGCTCATTGGAACGGTTACCAGCGTTTAACCATGGGCCCATCCAATCATACGCGCGAGCATTTCTCTTACGCACGCGTGTGCACGTGTGTACGTACGTCACCTTAGTATGTGCGCTCAAGGTCAACCGGCCAACCGTCTCTTTATACCATAACTCACACGCGTGTTCACACTTTTACGCTTACTGTTCCGCACTTGGCTCACTTCATTCGCTTCTTACGGAAACCGCAAGTTGTTGATTACATATCCAAACTGTTTTTTTTTTTCTTAGTTATAACTACATCCGTTTCCGCGTTTATCGAATTTACTTCCCAAATTACCTCCTACCGTATTAGCTTTAGCTGAATTTTTTAAACTTCGCTTTTTTTGTCTTCGATCCCCTTATGATACAGTTACATAAACAAAAAAGCTAAAAATATTACCTACGCAGAAGTCCTATAGCACATGGTCAGTCACGTTTAAACGCAATTTACACATCTTTATGACAGCTGCATCGTAGGTTCCTTCATTTTTGAACCCGGATTATTTAAAGGTCGTCGTAGTATCCACTTGCCATTACTAAGACATTTCATTAAAGCTTGTCTTGCTCAACAGATGCTCCCTTATCACTTAAACCCGACCATAGCTGCATTCGCACTTACATGTCGACCACGTAACCATATTCAGTTGAAACACAAAACCAATACGTGGGAAGGTGGATTCATTTAATTGTCAGAGAAGTCGAGTCCGTCCACGCAATTCAGGCCTCAGCAAAAAGAAGTGGAATAATAAAAGAATAGCAGCATGCAGAGTTATAATCTGCATTCTCTGCCGTACACCGTTGGTGTGTTTCTCCCCTTACCATAAGGGCTGCTTTAGGTAACGCTACATGCGCTTCATGCTCGCCTCAACTGGCTATTAAAAACTACAAAAAAAATGTGCCACTTACAAGTACTCGCCTCGGCATCTTCCCATACTTCTGTTATGTGGTTCTGTTTGCAGTAGTGGCAGAGCCGTCTTTTGGGAAAAGACGCGTCTACCTTTCACGCTATTGCGTTTTACTACGTTGCAACTGACACAGGTCTTCATGTAATGTCTTGCACTCAAGGATAAGAAAACCATCCGATCGGAA